CTCCCCTTAGATTTTCTCCTTCCTGAGAATCACTTAATTGCTGCACCAGAGCTGCCGGTATCAAGACCAATTGGCAGGGGACGTCCTCCGAAACCGAAGCTGCAGTATCGCGTTCGGTTCTGACATCACACTGATCCGAAGGAGGCCTGAGGTGGTTGCATGCACCCAACTGCCCTTGGCATGTGTTTGGCCCAGTACCCGTATCCAGCCCAGGGCCGGCTTTCCATTCATTCACACAGGCGGCCCAGGGCCTGGGTTTTCTCAACCAACTGGCGCTGCGCAACTGCCTGAATTTCCTTTGTTGCGCAGAGGCCAAAATAAAGCCCGGAGGGGCCCCGTCGAGCCTCCCTTGACCTAGGGCGGCTGACAGGCTCCCAAAAAGGGGCCGATTGGGGCTCATAGAGGCAGTGGTCTCGCATATGAGCATGAGAGAAGAGGACGTCCTGGACGACGGCCATAGCCACCAAGCTCGGAGGGAGGAGGAGATCAGCGAAAGAGGAGCAATTGACAAGAGAGAGAGAGAGAGAAAGAGAGAGAGAGAGAGAGAGAGAGAGGTGAGGAAGGTGAGGAGAGAAGCCATAGCTGGCAAGGAGAGAAGGGAAGTCGGCCATAGCCGAGCTCGGGGACGAGGAGAGAGAGGTTGACGAAGGGGAATAAGCTGCCATAGAAAGACATCGAAGAGTTAACCAACAAGCATTGACCGCCCTTGACCAAGCGTTGACCAGTGTTGACCGGGGGTTGACCGATGATGACCAGCAAGCGTTAACTGGTGCCCGTTGACCAAGCTCGGGTGCGGAGCGAGGAGCGGTATAATCCCTTCAAGCCCTAGCCATTGTCCTTCATGCCCTGTGGATGTTGCACACTTACATTGCTACTTGATGAGAGTCTGTCATGTCTTTTGCATTGAGTCACTCCTGTCTAGGTTGATAGGCTTTGTGGATGTGGTCCGATAGGGGCTGTGAGCAAGTTTCTGCATGGGACTTAGTAGGGGTGAGGTGTATCTGACACTAGACGACGTGGGAAAACACCCCGAGGACTGGTACTGACCGGCAGGTTGCTCTAGGTGGTATACTATACCTGAACTCCGCACTGCAGAGCGGTTGTCCAGTCTATTTAAGTCTTGAGAGGACCTTGGTTGTGATCGTTGTCCTGATTGCGACGTTAAATAATTCTTGAGGAGTTACGTGGGATCTCCTTAAAATGCCTCCTGATCAGCCAATAGTCCTGTAGTGACAGACTAGTAGTAGCTCAGGCTAGAATCGTGTAATTGACAGAGGGTTGATCTGAAGCTGAAGCCGGGTGGGGTTGGACTGTGGGGTGCACGGGAACTTGACGACTAGAAAGACTGGTCTGTGCTTGCGAAAGCATCCAAAGGCTGTGGTAACCTGGCTGAAGTGGAGGAGAGACCTATGTAGTCCTTTAGAAAGTTAGTGCCGAGGAGCGGAATCAATTGTGATTGTGCCCCGATCAACATGGTGACTACCAAGTCTGGAGCCCAGACTCGCCCATGTAAGGAACAGGAAGAGAAGGCCGCTGCCATTCTCTGAGAACAGAAGGAAAGAAAAGGCGAGTCTGGGCGAAGCAGCCAAAAAGAAGCAGATGGAGGAGGAGATGCACAAATGGAAGAGGGAGCAAGAGGCGAAGCTGGCTGTTGTAGGAGCAAAAGTAGAAAAAGAAGAAGTTGAAGAAGAAGAGACCCTGCTGCGACGAGGAGGAGAAACAAGATCAGGAATAGCATTGCCTGAAGAAACGGAGAAGGCGGTGAAGGAATGGGTGACAAGTTTGTCCTTGAGGGAAGATAGGGAGGCAGAGTTGATAGCCCCCCAGGCTGAGAGAGAAGCAGTAAAGAGAGAGTTAGATCAAGAAGCGAGTCCCATGCGTCTAAAGGCAAAGGAGCAGGAGAAGCGTTTGGAGTGGCAGTTACGTCTCGCAAGGGAAAAGACGAGGCGTTTGGAGATGGCAAACCGGATGGAGAGAGAGTTAAGGTTGGCAGAAGAGCGTTTGGGCAAAATTGGGGAAGATACTGAATTAGGGAAAAAAATTGACACCCTGACGGAAGGCGTAACCTCAGTGTTAGCGACACAGCACGAACAGTTGGGGCACCTTCGAGGACATGATATCGCGCCGGAATCCATTCGAGTCTAGGTTACCTCTCCGGACGTCCGGGACCCCCCAACGGTCCGGGTTGTCCGACCGGACCACCGGCCCGGTGGTCCGATATCCGACAAATGTCCGGCCCCAGCGAAAAATAGGGGCCATGCCTGGAAGGGGCATGTGGGGGGTCTCAGGCCTCGCGGTGTGTTAAGAGGCCCTGTTGGACCTCGGTCCCCGCAGGCCGAGGCCAGCAAGGCCAAAAAAAATTGAAACAGAAAAGGCCCGATGTGGGCCGTCCGATCGATCCGATCGACGGCCCAGATCGGGCCTGAATTCAAATTCGAATTCGGGTGGGAACCACCCGCCCACGCCCGCCGCCGCCCCCGTGCTGCCCCCCCCCCCCTCCCCCCTTAGTCGCTGTACATTGCGACCATCGTGTCGACGAGCGCGTGTGTGCGCTCGCGCGGACGCAGCACCCCAACGCCGCCATCGTCAACACCATCTCCAAGTAGGCCTCCGCATCGCCAGCCCTCCTCCTCCTCTCGCGCCATCGTCTCTTGTCGTCGTCCTCCTCCTCGTCGTCTTCTTCTATTGTTCTTCTTCTTCTTCTTCTTCTTCGCCTCGTCCTCCTTCTCCTCCTCCTCCAACTCTTCTTCTTCTTCTTCTTCTTCGTCGTCGTCGTCGTCGTCATCGTTGTCGCCGCGTCCTCCTTCTCCTCCTCCAACTCTTCTTCTTCTTCTTCTTCTTCTTCTTCTTCTTCTTCTTCTTCTTCTCCATCGTCTCGTCCTCCTCCTCCTCTTCCTCCTCCTCCTCCTCTTCCTCCTCCTCCTCCTCCTCTATCGGGACCTTCGCCTCCTCCTCCTCTATCGGCACCTCCTCCACCTCTATCGGGACCTCCTCCTCCTCCTCCTCC